ATTATAGTTTTTGTAATTCATACCCCTTCCGTGTTGAGCCTTTTTAACACAAGAGGAAAGCATGAGAATCTTGTCAATAGTGTATATTATAATAAGTGGTTATTACTACAGACTGACATCCCAGTGTATCAGTTAATATCTAGTCGACGTTACACGTTGTCAACTTCCGAGAGCGTCTTAACAAGTCAGTGTGAGTTTTGAAACCGTAGGAAAATGTCAACTAAGCAAAAGATAAAAAAGCAAGATTTACAACATCTTCGATGGGGAAGTATCTGCAGGATAGCGTAGCCAAAACTAGTCAGACTGGATCCTAATGATTCAGCGTCCATTACTGGAGACAGTTGACGACAAGGTTTGATAGTAGTATAAGAAGTCATTCAGTTTATTTTTAATATCATGGTGGTTGCCTTCATCTGATGCTTGTTTTAAAGTCTTTTGCTGTCGTTACAAAAAATTAATCTGAATCAGTAGTTGGATAATTCATGTTATTGAAAGTTGTTAGACTCTCTACACTGGCAGCATAAGCATCCATTAGTTAATTTGACACAAGTAAGAGTCATCCCAATTCGTACGAGCTAGCATTTTCTTCTTCCTATTGGAGTGGTTATTTATTTACAAAAGTCTCTTAAATTTATTTTCATTTTGTAATACCCAACATGTTCTCATGGACCCTGACTTGTTTATTTATTTATGTACTCCTTTATTTTATTTATTTATTTATTTATTCATTTTGAAACATTTCCCGAGAAAAGCTAAACGTAATAGTCGAAATCTATAATTGCGGACAATAGGAACTATTCTGCCTTACATTATCAGTCAAAATAAGAATGTTATAATCACGTAGAAAATGTGTCAAGTATGTTTATCTACCTGACTAAATAGTATGAATAACAATTCTAGTCAATATAGGCATCAGCTGTTGTACAGAATCAAATAAATTACAAAATTTCCTTTGAAGAATATTCACTAAACTTGTAATATTGTTATTATTTGTTTAAGCCAATTTCTGATTTTTCAGTTGATTGAATGGACCGAAATGTTCGGCCTCTTTTAAAATGTCAACTGCCAGTGTGAACGCTTCAGCATTGTCTGAGGACTAACTCGAAGTAATTTGGTAGATGGTGGACTAGCAGTGGAATCCAGGATGGGCGGTTCAAGTAGTCTAGTGGATAGTGGCTCGGTGTTTGAAACGGTGGATGCTGGGTTCGAATCTCAAATGGGAACACACCCATTGACTAGGGGATGCAGGCACGTCCAGCTGATGGGTCTCGAGTATAACGAAATACTCATCCTGGATTCTACCTGTAGTCACCATCCACCAAATTATTTCTAGTGTAATATTTAATTGAATAATAATAATAATAATAATCGGGTTGAAAACTGTTAGGAATACTTTGTTTTTATGCTTCAACTCAGACAGCATCAAACTCTTTGCTTCGTATATATGTGCATATATTATGACACATATATAGACTGACTTGCATGCAGTCAAAACAATTTTTACTACTGTTCATTTCTTTCCGGGTAGGACACTGGGCCTTAACAGCACATCTCCATTGCGCTTGGTTCTCTCCTTCACTTCCAACTGCCTCCGTGAGTGCCCAAAAACTGCCGTTTCCATTTTACATGATCTCCCGCAAAGCACCCTCCGACGCACACACACTTGGAGTATAATATTACTTTAACGTCTCCTCAGTGTATATTCAATCTATGGTTTCCTTCTGCATATTTATTAGTCAGTGGCTTGTTGGCTGCTTCCCTTTTTGTCAAACTTCTTTTCTAATCGTTTTCTTCGGTTACCTGATCTTCAGTATCCAGCTTTAGAAGCTGTTGATGAATCTTGATGATGCTTTTGGTAACGCGTGTTAAAAATGCGGGTCTTGTCCTTTGCGCCAAGTGCGCATGTGAATCGCCACACAGATTCCAGAGTCCTGAACGCTAGTCATGATTTGTCGATTGGACCCTAGCTTTGGCGTCCTCATCCATACCGCCTGTATTTTAAATGATGTTGTCCAAGAAAGTAGAAGAGATAACTTCCTTCGGTCCCGCGCCAAAACCGACCTCTTTTCTAGGCTTAGTTCTATCTAGTGACACGCGAGGTTGAAAATGGTAATGCCAACTACTAGATATGTCCTCGGTAGTAACTTACTGTACTATTTTGTAACAGGTACTACTGACTGCATCTCACTTGCTTTCATATTGCTGAATACGGTGAGATATCAGTGATGATGATATTCTCCTGTCTGTAATTCTCATGGAATTAATAGCCAGTTATCACAGACCTAAAGTAACAACTCGATATCTTATGACCACTTGGCTGCTGATGTTCTACTTTGGGTTATTATGCTATAATCATAATTCATTTTTAACTAGCAGTCCGTCCTTGAGAGGCTTTATCAACCTCATTGTCTCCTCATTTCATTACTTGTTTTCGCTTCTCAAAAGTTTACTTCTGGTTGTGATAGTTTGCCATGCTTAAAACTTCTTTATATCACAATTCTGTTTCACTCGTTTTCTATACTTAACTGATTATATCGATATTTTTACTAGGTGTAAACGTAGTTTCAGTTTACTCTTACTTAGTTACGTTGTTACATTGTAAACGTCACTTGTTTATTAACAACCTCCTAATGACTGGTGTAATCTTATAATTTGTCTACCTCAGTATTTTGATGATTCCCTTGCTTCCCACTTTTTGTTTTATTCTAGAGGCTTTGGTAACAGTACACATGAAAGTAGCTCAGTAATTTTAAATTTCATTAACTTAGTATTTCGATTCATCTATATGATCATCCTTAATTGTTGTTTCACATGTTATTTGCAGTGAACTAAAGTATGTTAAAATTGTAGTAAAACTTAACTTTCATTATTCAGATTGCATGCACTTGAGAAGATACTGACGAAATAAAATGGGTGCTTCTTGTCTTGCTCCTTGTGTTTTTATTGATTTGTTCAGATATTAGGTACAGATGACTTTTTATGAATTACGGCTTTCGCGGACTATTGCGGTAAGACTGAGAGGTTTGGTAAGCTATTGTAACACTAGAAATTCACATATATATCGTTGGGGCATATATATACATATACATATATATAAGGAGGTTAGAATTTCTGAATAGGTGTGTGACCCAAGTATATCACTCTTTGACAAGACTCTATCGTGACTCCTTAAGGATATTCATTCCGAGATCATCTAATCCTTGTGTCGAACAGGTTTCACCTAGTCCCGGTTCATGATGCAGCATTATCGTTACTCACTATCATCACTATATTGTTGCGTCTCTGTGATTAGTCATGTAGGTTAAGGCTTCTGGCCATCCTTTCAGAAAACCAACTTCCGAGTAAATTAAATGTAATCTCTGCATTGTTTAACTGAGCGGTTAATCGAGAAACGGATTGCACTGAAGCATATCTCACCTCTAATTAACTTCAGTCAGAGAATCACTGAAAGTCAAAAAGGAATCAAGCTAAATAATAGCTAACAAGGTTCACATGGACGTATTCTTAGTCCTTTCTTAGCATGTTTTTTTTTTTCCGAGGACGTCACCTGTAACACTAATTGAAATATTCCGTTCAGCTGAACTGTATTTAAACAATAAACTCTTTCAACCAGTAAAATTATCACAGTTATCTGTCTAAAACTAGTATTTTAGCTCTTTGAACAGATATAACAAGTAGTCGTCCACAGTTGATATAAGTATAAAACTTGGGCACTGTGGTAGAGTATAACTCCATAATGGATAAGATTTTATTTTGATAAATCACACAGTGTTGTACAGTTATATTAACTGATGACGTTTCGAGCACAAACTACTGCTCATAATCATATCAACTGTGTGATTTATCAAAATAAAATCTTATCCATTATGAAGTCGTCCACAGTATTATAATCAAACAACAAGTGAAAAACTATTGTGAGAATACATCTCAGCATATTTTCCAATTTCTACTCTAATATTTATACCTGTCCGTGTCCGCATCTCACATGCTGATGGTAGATTTCATTTAGTCTTAAAGTAATTGGTTTTGTGGAATATAACCCCATCAGAAGGAGTACACACCATAACAAGGTAGAGAATATCTCTCTCATTTAGTATTTTGCGCAACTCATCATTGAAGCAGACTTGCATCCTTAGGTTGGAAACCTCTCGCTGCAACTCCTTACCAGTGGATAATTGTAATTTAACCCACTTACACTTCATAATTCAGTCGATAGGCAACAACCAGTCAACAACGGATCGGGAGTCCATGAAATATAAAGCTAAGATATTGACTTACACCTAAAATTTTCAATCATTTAGTCACCGTTTGAAATAACCTGTCATGGTAAATACATAATATTATACAAGTAGCCGATAGTGGATCACAGTAAGATGACAAATGTCAGTCACTCGGCACAACAGTAAGAATAATGAAAAAGGATGCGGCATGGTATACAGATTCGATGATTATCTGAAGGTGGAACACAGAACTTATAAGTAATGCAAAAAATTATAACCTACAGATCTATCGAATAGTATCTGAAAATATTCCTTAGCCATCTGACCGATTCAAACTAAACAAGCAAATTCGTTTTACTAGCAAATACATATATTTACTCTGCCAAAATATTAATTAGTGTTTCATATTTTCTATTTATTATCACTCATAACAGAGTGTCTCAGAATTGTAGCATCTAATGTTTAATTTCTTGTTTTATTATGCTCAGTATTAAAGAAAAGTGATTTTGCTGATAAGATATAGAGTTGTTATTGTTGCTGTCTTCTAATTAAGTACGCAGAAGTAGGTAGCAATGTTTCCTCTCCTTTAACAAACATTATTTAACGAGAAAACTAGGATAATAGAGTTCCGCAACAGTGAGGTTTATATTTTGGAATGCATTACTGCCTTCTTAAACTTAATTTAATGTTTATGCATGTAGTAATATCTAGGTGGTGTGTGTGTGTGTTTCCTTTATCACTGGTTAACAGAATGATTTTTTTAAATTGTTTAGAACTGTTTCATTTGCCTCGCAAACGAAGAACATTCGGATAGACCATTCTGTGATTAACACAGTGATCATGATCAATCTGAACTGAATTCTGTTTCATTTGGATTTGCTTTTCTAAAATCATCTGATCATCTTGTAGATTTTTCAGTCTATTCTCCGATACCACTAACTGATCACGTAAATCATCCACAGTTTTTTGTATTGTAGCCAATTCATCAAGCATTCTAAAAAATCGAATGCACATTATAAAACAAAGAATAGGTAAAGTGAAATCTGAAGAGGTTAATATATTTTTTATTTGCTAAAAAAGTTTTACCCAAAGGTGGGTGCGCACTGATGAAGAGTTCCAAACTAGGATGAAACAGATGTCCAGTACTCCCAGGTTGTCCACTAGTTCTCTAACCGATGTCAATTCATGATGAAATCCTGTAACCAATCAAATCTCTGCAAACCAGCACTTGGGTATTAATAAATATCATGTACATATACGCTAATCAGCTTACTAAGTGGTGGTAAATAGTAGTTTAGACAGAAACCCTTATTTGTGAGTCTTTAATCAGAGTGCGAGAATAGATGCATTTCATTGGAGAACAGCACAAAATTCACTCTGACTGTTTTCAAGCTACTCCTTTCAAGATGCAAGGCTGCACTAACCCTTAGGCCTACTTTTAATCCAATAAGATTTACTGAATTCGCACATTGCAAGTGGCGTTTGTTATAAATTTAATGGTGTACATTTTGTGTCACGTTCAAAGATCATTATAAAATTGATCTCAGAAAATCTGCAAGCACCTGGCTTCTAGGTTATTCATTCTCTTAACTATACATATGATAGTTGACGACATTGTACTCTAGTGTATAGGTAATAAGTCGCATCAGTATATTCTTATTAGTTATTCAAACAATAAAATACAAATTCCAATGCTATTTATGTTTGTCTTGTTTACTTATACGGGTGGTCGGTCGGTCGGTCGGTTTTCGGCATAGAACTTTGCACATATGTGCGGCTGTTCAAGTCGCCACACTCCATGTAGCACACAAAGCAAGAGAAGAAAGTAGAAGAAATGCATAATATAGACAGTAAACAGAGGTGTGAGACAAAGGAATAGTAATAACTAAGAACAAAACAGTTTCATTGGAAATCATAAGTCACAAGGAGTGGATGCATCTGCGCCATTGAGAACGATTTTGAGCCATGTCACCAATTGTTTCCAACCATTGGTTTTTACCGTCCCGAGGACCCCAACCAGGAAGTCTATACCTTCCTACGTGGCTTAGACTAACTGTTGTGGATTTCATTGACTGGTGCCATGTTTTCGTTTGACCGCCGCTAGCTCTTTTCCAGCCTGATCCTATGTTAGTCAGCTAACATTGACCGTCGAGGAAGGCGATGACTAGGCATACGTAGCACATGTCCTCACCATCTCAGTCGATGTAATTTCGCAGTTTCGTCGATTGATTTCCCCGCCTTACCTAGCACTCGACGCCTAAGCTCAATATTGCTCACCTTATTATACCACTTCACGCGGGAGATAGAACGCAGACACCTATGATCGAACACAGATAATTTTTCATGTCTTGTGCTCTCAATGGCCAGGTCTCACAGCCATAAAGGAGGACGGAGCGGACTGTTGAGCAGTACACACGCCCTTTGGTCGATAGTCGGATATCGCGTCTACGCCAGAGACGGCGTAAACTGGCATATGCGAACCTAGCCCTCTGTATTTGTGCTGAGATTTCGTCTGAGATCAACCCGTTGGGGCTGATGGTACTTCCCAAGTAAGTGAAGCGGTCAACGTGCCCTACCACTTCACTTCCTATTTGTAATCTAGGAGTCGGTGTAGTCCAATCCTGCAACATTATCTTACATTTTACAGGGGCGAATTGCATGCCAAACATACGAAGGTTGTTGCTCAAGGTGTTCAGTAGACTCTGCATTTTGTCAGCGTCCTCGCCTAGAAGGACTATATCGTCCGCATATTCTAAGTCAATGAGATTATTCCCTGGTAGCAAGTCAATCCCTGAGTAGCTGAAGTGTGTTAGGGTTAAGTCCATTAGCACGTCTATGATGAAGTTGAATAGGAATGGGGATAATGGGCATCCTTGACGGACGCCACTAGTCGTCACCACTTCAGATGACAACTCGCCATAAGCCCTCACCTGGCTGCATGAGTACGAGTAGAGTGCCTTAATCAGTGCAATGTATTTTCTCGGTATTCCCTTTACAGCCAAGCATCGCCAGAGAACCTCTCGGTCGACAGAATCGAATGCCGCCTTTAGGTCAAGAAATATAGTGATTGTCGGACGACGGTAGGAATGCCTATGTCCTAGAATCTGTCGAAGGGTGAAGATATGATCAATACACCCTCTACCTGGCCTAAAACCTGCCTGGTTTTCTCGTGTTTGTGTCTCCCGAGCACCAATTAGTTTACGCAGTATTATTGAGCCTAGGATTTTAGATACTATATTAGTCAAGCTAATCCTTCTGTGATTATCACAAGAAGCCTTGTCTCCCTTCTTGTATATCGGGATGATCAGTGACTTACACCAACCCGATGGGACTTCCTCTGATTCCCAGACGCTGCCTAGAACCTCAGTTAACGCAGACAGTAAACTGTCTCCACCGTACTTAAATACCTCTGGAGTCAATCCATCAGGTCCCGCTGCTTTGCCTTGTTTCAGATTAGTGGCTGCTCTAGTAACCTCAGTTAAGGACGGAGGACCTGTGTCTGCATCCCATTCAGGGAGGTGTTGGATGTCCGACAGGTTAAGTGTGGCTGTGGGCCAATTAAACTGCTCCTCATAGTGTTTTTTCCAGCGCTCCAGACGTCTATCCTGGGAGCTAATTATGGTGCCATTCTTCTCAGAGATTGTTTCGCTTATCATTTGCCTTTTACCACCTGTTTCCCTGATAAGCCTGATGTCTGCTGTTGCCTATTGCCGATGCTTTTTCCATCTCTTTCGCTTTTGTCAACCACCACTGTTCACGGTCCTTGCGGAGACTTTTCGTAAGTTTCCTTTTGTGCAGCTTTCGCTCCTCATTGAATTCGGAGCTCGTCGGAATAAGTCTTCTAGCATCTATCAGTTCGGATGAGGCAGTCGAAATCCAATGGTTTTTACTCACCTTTGGATTTACCTCATTCACTATTAATATATGTGTAAAACTTGGGCACTGTGGTAGTAAGTAATTCCATATTAGTTTGTTTATTAGGTATATCACACAGTGAAACAGTATTATTTACTGGGTAACGTTTCGAACAAAATTTATTGTTCATAATCATATCAATTGTGATATTTATATGATTATGAACAATAAATTTTGTTCGAAACGTCATCCAGTAAATAATACTGTTTCACTGTGTGATATACCTAATAAACAAATTAATATGGAATTACCTCATTCACAGCTTTTACAGCTGTATCTATGGCTGACTGAATATTCTTCCAGGCTTCTTCAGGGTGAGCGTTGTCGAACTTAGATAAGTGTTTAGCTAGTTCTTCCTCAAATAGGGACTTAGTTACCTGATCGAGCTGGGGACGTGATGGGTTTACCGCCAGCTGTTTCCTACGTCCGTTCAGTCGTAAGCACACACGAGCGCGGACCAGTGCGTGATCGGTATCTACACACGTGTTCCAGAAGGAGCGGCAATCTCCTATCGACTCACGCCAACGATAGCTTATTGCTATGTGGTCTATTTGTGTCGAGCGTTGGTTTGATGATGGAGGTCGCCACGTCAAACAGTGTCTCTCCTTGTGTTTGAAGTTAGTGCTTACAAGATACAAATGATTATCTGAACAGAACTGTAGGAGACGGTCACCGTTGTCGGTTCGCTGGCACGGAATTCCGTATGTGCCACCGACATTCTTCTCAGATTGACATAATTTCCCTACTTGAGCATTAAAGTCACCAGCTATAACGACTATATCTGAGCGTTTAGCCTTTCGCAGCAAACTAGACAGCTTTTGGTAGAACTCATCCTTCGTTTCATCCGAACTGCAGTCAGTGGGGGCGTAGGCGGAGATTACGAAAAGGCATCGGCGAGTAGTGTAGTCCTTTCTCCTTTTCACTGGTCTGTTCAAACGGATAGCACACATTCGGCTATCTACCGGGATCCAGTCAAGTAATGTATTTTCTGCCCTAGTACTCAAAGCTATCCCAACACCAGCTAATCCTCGTGAGCTAGCCGTCGCATCTCCTGACACCCTCAAGGTGAATTTTGCAGATTCACCCTGTTGGCCAGGTGGGGTTAGGTGAATAACCACACTTGCGTCTTGTATGCGTGTTTCTGAAACACAACATACATCAATGGCTCGGGATGCCAGAGTCTTGGCTAGTGATGCTTGCTGTCCTATTTGGCAAAGTGTCCTAACATTAAATGCTCCTATATAAAATTGGTGGCGTGGCTTTAGGAGACTATCGATGGTGGCTTTTTGGCTTCCATCGTTATCAGTGCGCACAGAGTGAAGAGGAAGTGAAGAGCCATCAAGTAGAGGAGTTGCATTAGTAGAAGGAAGGCAAAATAATAGAGATGAAGATGAAGACAAAGATGAGTGAGGATTAGAGAGGTTTCGCGTGCACTTCGGATTGTGAGGACGATTGTTACTTCCCGGCTACCCACACCGTGGAAGTTGGTTGCGTGACCGCAGAGCCCAGGGGACAACTGCTTGAGGTCGGTCACACACGGCCTGTTTTTGTTTGTTCTTTTTTATTTGGTGTGTCTCAGTAGCGTATTTATCACTTCTGCCCTGTGACACGGCAGCAGGAAGCACGGTCGTTGTTAATCCGGGCCCCGACCGATCCGGCATGATATTTTGTGTTTTTGTTTGAGTCATGGCATTGGATTGGGTAGCTGCTTTTTGTCTAACCGCTATCCGAACAACCTTTCTGGCATGGTAGGACCTACAGGAACTTAAGTTCCAGCTAGTGTAGCTCGTTGGGTCATTGTGATATGCAAGCCCAACCATCACGTCAAGGTAGCAGCTTTCGGTCGGGTGGTGGTGGTCTCACCAGTCTATAAGGATCGATGTTAGATTATCAGATCATATGCACTGACAGTCCATATAGTGGATGAAATGCTCTGGAAATCGAAGATGAATCAAATATCATATTTCACATCGACGGTCAGAAATTAACCTTTCCTTTAATTGTTGTGCCTCAGTTAAAAGGACCATCATCGGGGGTGGTTTAGATTTGGATATTGCAAGATATCGACAAAACAGTGAGAACGGGGTACGGCAGTGTTCATAGTGAGGCAGAAACAATGTCGGTCTAAACGTTCGTCATTTGGATACGCAGGCGCACACCTAACATTTGAATGATAAGTGGTGTCGCTACTTAGGAAATTGGAGAATGTGAAAATGTACAGTGGCTGTCCTAGTCAGAAAAAGACTGTGGAACACTTAGAATTCTTCTTAAGAAGCACCGAAGAGTTTGAAATACGCATCGAAAAAAAAGAAATCCTAGCTGTAAGGAATGTTACGCCATTAGGACATTAACGGAAAAATGGTGAGATTAAACCTTCACCCGAGAAAATTTCGACAATAGAGAGCATTTCACCCTCGAATTTAAAGAGAACTGAGAGAGATGTCGGAAAAAGCAGAACTGTAAAGCCGGTTTGTGAAAAGTTTCAATGAGATGATTTATGTCTGGTGTCACACAAACTTGAAGATCTACAGGCGAAAACCAACAAGTTGGCAGAAGAGATTGGTGGAGAAGACAGGATTTCAAATGAACATAGAAAAGACAGAGGTGGTGAATAAACCCGGCCACTACCACCGACAACCAGCACCAACCAATCAGTATCAACGAGAGCAATTTGAAGGACGTCACTCCTTTGATTTATCTAGACAGCACTGTTTCAACTACAGACGGTTGGCACGTATGAAGATGTCAGAGCCAGTCAGGATTGGAAATGTGAGACAGACCTTCACTAATGTGAAATCAGTCTGGACATCGACTGCACCAAACATAAGGAACAAAATTCGGATTGTCAACAGCAATATCGGGTCAGTTCTTCTATATGGGTCAGACAGAGACTTGTCGCGTCACGAAAAGCATTTCCAACAGCCTGCTGTAGACTTTTATCAACAGCTGCCTTCACCGGCTCCATACTGAAGGGCAGATGACTGGTCAGAAATGATCAGCAACAAGAAATTCTGAGAACAAACCAACAAAGAGCTTATTGCTCAGAAAATATCCCGAAGGAAATAGAGACGGATCGGACTTACTCTGAGAAGACCGTTGAGTGAAGTCGTGAGCCAGGCCATCGCTCAAGTAGAAACTGAATGGGAAACGGCGAGTTGTACCATCGAGGATGACATGGAGGAGATTATATGAGGAAGAGACGACAGCTTGTGGATATTCTTGGGGCCAGCTATGGGTGACTGGAGAGAACAGGATGAAGTGTGGATGTGTAGTTCCACTCGGAACCCAAGGGAATAATAAAAATTTAAATAATATGGTTTCTTCCCCTTTTTGGCTCAGTTACTTTAATCAGGTTGGTGGGAGTATTATTGTCGGCACTTAAAGAGAAGGAAGTCTTACAGACTAATGGGGCAAACAATTCAATGAGCTCCTTCGACTGACAGATTGAAGTATTCTGACATCTATTCTCATTGAGAGTTATTCAAAATTACACGAGGTCTTTCCATATTTCATTCTACTACACCTATCAGGATTTCATTTTTATTACCTACAATTGTGACAGGAAACTTGGTCAAGACAAACAAGATGTGGCAGCAGGCAAATTTGTCAATCATAACAGAGGAACTTTAGAAGAATAAGTACATTTTAAAGAGAAACTCACGATTGTTGTGGTGGGTCACGTGCATTTTCTACTCCTGGTCGTTGGTTGTGCAGATGTAGACGTGTCTGAACTAATTTTATGTTGTTGTCTTTTTCAGCTATAGCTCGTCGTAAATCCTTAATGCTGTTTTCCATTTGTACAATCTCGTTTAAGTTCTGAATAGTAAGAAAAGATTTATATTGAAGCAGTAGTTTACGAATGAGTATGCTTTGAGAAGTAATTCAACAAAAATACATAAAGAAATAAATCAAATGTTTCTGACTTATCATATTCCTAGAATGTTGTGCTACTGTCAATTTAATAACTGCAGTGTCAACACTAAACTTTGCATAGAAGTGTAGCAGTTCTATAGAGCCCATGAAACTAAAGAATACAAACAAAAATGATACCGTGGTAGACAAACATGGGCACAAAGTAGGAGATAATTACAGATGAATATCAGTGAAGATGCTAAAAGCTTAAAAGGTGATAAGAAAAACGAATACATTTGCACAACTGTGAACAACTTTAACCTCCATGATTGCATTACATGAACAATAAACAACTTGATAAACTCATGCCATGTTACTCTATAATCAATCTCTGTAATCTCTTTTCTAATGCAATCTTAATTTACTCAACACTGTTGAGAAAGACGGTGACGGTGAGTATTTTAGTAGAGGTCAGGAACAGATGACTATTTGAACAAGTTGTAAGAGACAATTAATATTGCTACCTCGTAAACACACATAACATATTTATCAACAGTCCAGGCCTTTCTGTTTGAAAAAAAAAACACTTCATGAAATAACCACATCCAGTTGTTTTATCATTCGCTGATAAATTAAACCAGGTGAAATGAATCATTGCCCATGCAAACTGCAGTCAGTGGGTACGTATACAGTAAGTACAAGAAATATCTACAAGTATCCAGATCTTTTCTTGCTCTTAAGGATTCATTTGATTGAATAGCGAACAGACAAGTGAGCAGTTAGATGAAGTCACTAAGTTATTATTCTACTGATAAGCTTAGTGTTAATCTAACGCTAGTATGTCCATCAGAACTAGCCACATAACCTCTTGGAACCGCTAAAATGAATCTTGTAGTTTTGTTATATAGGTTAAGTGAATAATCACATCCTGGTTTCATATGTCTCTTTAGACAATACAACATACACCCATTTTTTAAAATACTAAAGTTTTTGCTAGTGAGATATGTTATCTGGTGTGAGTGAGGGTTACAGCGCCGAAAGCTTCACTATAATGTTTTTAGTATAGTTTTAAAAGACTAGTAATGGTGCTTTTGTGGCATAAATCCCTAGCATTAGTTAAAAAGTTAAGAGATCATGAAGAACTGTGAGGTAGCAAGGATTAATTAGTGTAATAAGATGGAGAATTTGTATTTGGATAAAATTATATGAAGTTTGCTAATTCCGAATACTCAGAGAGTGGGAGTCTAATTTCTCTTGGAGTGGGTGTACTTTTACTATCTCGTATAAACATCTTCATCCGTGATGCCCGGGTAAGTGAAGAAAGTGACCTCGTTCAGATTTATTCCGTCAACAGTGATTGGTGTCCGTCATTGTTGTTGCTTGGTTATCTTCATCACCTCCGTCTCCTCTACGTTTACTTGAAGTGCTATACTTGCTGCTTCTTCTGCCAACTTGTTGGTTTTCGCCTGTAGATCTTCGAGTTTGTGTGACACCAGACGTAAATCATCCACGAATTCCAAATCTCCTAGAGTCTTCTTATCGGCCCAACGCATTGCTGACTTCTCACTCCCCATAGTCTGTTGTATGATCCAGTCCACCACAGACAGGAATGTCATGGGCGATAGTGGGCAACCTTGTCTTACTACTGTCTTCACTTCAAAGGCTCCGCCGAGTTTTCCCTTGTGGATAACTTGGCCTTTAACATTGTTATATTTCTGTTGAATGAGCTTGATAAAGTCTTGAGGCACTTCTTAGTGCTGGAGCAGTTTCCAAATTACTTCGTGGTCAACGCTGTCGAAGGTCGTTTCAGAGTGGATGAAGTTGAAGTAGAGTATCGACTGTCGTTCTATGCTTTTTCTGATTATGGTGATGGCGCGTAGAGTTGCAATTTGATCAGCACATGATTTGTTTTCCATGAATCCAGGTTGTTCGGGTTGGAGTTCTGCATCCCCAGCGTATATATTTCTCGATAGAATGACGCGACTTAATATTGCACATGTCGTGAGCAGCAGCACGAATCCGCGTCAGTTTTTACAAGGTCATACATAGGTGATGCTTCTCTAGTTGTTCGAGAAGTCGGTCTGTCTGCCTCTCTGTAGGTAGCTTTCTTTTCCCCCTAAGTTTTTACATTAATGGCATGAGGATAACTGTTGAGGTCTCTGGGTGCATTTTCGGGGCTTCCAGAGGATTATGTCTGATGGTAGTGCCTTCCCAGCGTTAATTAGCTTCATGTCATTGAAAACTTCCGCGTTAGTCAGAGGACTGACGTTCACTAGGAGTTCTGTGACTGTTGGTGTTATTCCTGGACGATTTACCGTTGGTTGCCCCTACTAATTATGAACAGCTTTCAAAACTATCCTTTCCTTTGTGTCTAAACTTATGCTACTTATCGAAAATAAGTAGTATGAGGTTTATCCATGCATTACTGGATAACCGTAATTGTTCATTTGCATTGAAATTTATATCATTTAATATAGCAAAATTCTAATTGTTTTATAGTAATTGTCTTCCCATGGGTAAACAGTATCTGCTGCACTCTTTTCGTTTATGTTCGACTCCCTCTTGAACATTCGAACACGGTTTGTTCTTCCTTAAACACATTCACAAGTTATTTCTGAAGGTGGATGATTTTTAAACACAGATCTGCTATTACCTCATTAACGCACAGTAACATTACTTTGAACAGCACAGTCTGGATAGTTCACAATTGGACCTTTTTAACTTCTGTTCATTATTTTTATATGTAATATAGTAGTGTATTTCACACAAATCCTGTGTTTTGCATTTATGACTAACCTAAATGGTTGGTTAGGTCTATGTAATCGGAAGTTGGATTGCAAATTATTGCTCCGGCTTTCTTGGAGGAAATCTGTACTTATAATGTAAATTAAAAAAATGCATGCATACATGTGAGCATGGAGAGTCGCGGATACAAATTCAGGAAACCAGTTGCTCATGTAAGATGATACACTTTAGTTTGTAGGTGAAATCTACTTTTATGAATGGTTGTGAGTTAATTAGTATAAGTGTAGAAATATGAATGAAGTGTTAGCCAACAACCACATATTTGTTACTCAGCTTGTTAACCAGTCGCAGCTCTGGTAAGACAGCTGATAATACTACTTAGTTTAAAAAAAGTCAGTTGAGAGGGGTTCGGACCCTTAACTCACTACTTAGTTAAAAGTGAATCTCGTAGTCCAAAATTATCTCACTTCTTTCAGCCTTTTCTTGTAATCAGCCAGCTGTGATTCAAGATAACTTAAATTGTTTTGGAAAGCTGAATTAACTATATCTTTCTGCTGCGTGATATCTGTGGTGACATCGGTGATAAGATTAGAAAGTACGGTCCATAATTCTTCGGTTGCCATTCTTTCATGCTCTGACCTGAGTATAGCATCATGCGTATGCTGAGCCCAAGAATCGACTGTTGACTGAGCAGCTAAGGGATGACGTCTCGCTTCGCCGGCATAGAACTGTTTGTTCGTATCATATAATCCTAGATGACCTGCTTTGCTCAATAGTTCACTGGCCTCCAATTTATCACTCCATATCATTTCTAAGTCTTGTTTAGTGTCACGATTTCGCCTTTTATATTGTTTAGGGAAAAGAAAAGAAGAATTAAGATATTGTTTTAAAAAATGACGGATAAATAATTGACGAATTTATAGACCTTTTTCACAGACAACGTTGAGTAGGTATACGCCGATTTGTTAGGAAACGCGAATCACTATAGCTATGTAGACATGGCCAGAGCTAATAAATCAGTTAGTCAGTACGACCACTAAGCTATGCTCACTACTGATATCTACAAATATATATCAAGCAATCGGAGAGGTCAACAGACAGAAATTTATGAACGTGTTTTCAAGCCTGTCGGTACTCATCAGTTGTCTCGTAGAATTTCAAAGGCGCATACATAATTCACTGTTGAAAAATATCTCCAAAACAATAGATTCTACAGAAGTCACTTAGTTGGTAAACTAGCAATAACTTTTATCTCTTCTCTCATTCATATTCTGTAAAAGTCATTACTCGTGCGGTTGATCCTTATTTGTTCTCTTTGTAGTATTTTGTAATGCTGTATATCACTCTTACAGCTGGTTAGCCATGACAATAGTGCTCTGTATACTGGGGATGAAAGAATTAATGTTATCGTGATTTATGGGAAATATATGCTTTAGGTCTGAATTATGTTGAAGGATTGAACAAAGAAATATTTATTTTTCAATTAGATCATCACCTCTGGCTCTACTCTAATATATATATATATATATATATATATATATATATATATATATATATACAGTATAAAAGATTTTAATAATCTAGTGACGATAAGTTTGTTAACAATAAGTAGTTGATATCAAAAATTTTGTATTGTATTAAAAAGGCTATGTATATTAAAGATAGATCCAGAGATGACGATCCAACCGAAAAGTAAATATTCCTTCGCTCAAACCTTTGGTCTTCTAAATGTCTAAATTATTCTGAAGACATGAGATGATAGGTGGTGAGCGCGTCGCATTTATGTGTTTCATATTTACGGAATGGTTGTCCTTGGCTAAGTAAGTGATTCTGCTGAATAAGATTAGTAGCAAATCAGAAATGAAGGACAAACATCTTGATGTATTTGTATCATATAGCTAGCGGATGGGCAATTATAAGAGTGGATTTCGAGGTCATTCTAGCAACTCCACTCATTACAGTTACTAGATATCCAATTGGTACACAAAATGATGCCATTCACTACGTCGAATATATAATCAGTCATATTCGATTATTATGAGCAGAGTATAAATAAAGGTCATCCTACCATCTATATCAGCACACTTCATGAGCTCAAATTCTACTCCTACCATCAGGATATTCAGTACTTAGCCATAATACTGAAAATTAATTGGTTGTAGAGTTGGCGTCTGTCAAATGATAAATTTCAGTCCCTCTAATCGTTCCAATGCACATGATACCAACTTTTCATAATAATGCAATGACAGAGGCGCCGTTGAGTTTCCAGAAGTGTTACAATTTTCTGAACTGTTTTCTATTTTAAAAAAACAACTATACAATTGCATACACTGTTTGGTATACTGTTTAGCCTATCAGAAGACACTGACTGAACTGGAAGTCACCATTTATCTGTAGCAATAAATAATGTCCTGTGGTATATGTAACATTATGCCGACTGACTGAAAAAGACAATTCAGTACTCTGAAGAGTTATCACAAAAACGGTGTCGGAAAAATGGTGAAGCTAATGGGTTGGTCAGATTGTTTTAATATCAGTTTACATTGCAGGTGAATTACTCATTTTAAAGTGAATACATTTCAGAAATCAAAAGATCTTTGATCTACTTCTGTCAACTCACTTGATCTGGTTTTCACATTGTTGTATTGCCTTCTTGTACAGCTCAACACTTTTGTTTAAAATGTCCAATTCCTATAAGTGGAAAGAAATAGAAGCTTGTTATATTGGAGAGGTGATCTGTCATTACTTGATTGAGCTCAATATTTATAGCATAGAAATATACAATATTATAAACTATCTGCATTGCCTCCCACCAACATTTTCGTGCACAGAAACTATCACATTAAGATGAGGAGATTCCACTAAATAACAATAATAGCATAATTAAATATAGTCTAACGAAATATTGATGACTTCATGGTTTCTTCTAACCTCACTTGTGGTATTACATTTCTTTACCTAATTTGCATTTGAAATCTTTGTCTCATAGGGCTGTACGAATTATAATTGTTTTAATTTTCACATGTTTGTCATCCTTTATCTTGGGAGATATGGTAATCTGAACTACTACTTAGCAATGCTAAACCCTATGTCGATAATATATCTACGTTTGGATATAGTACCAGAATTCATCGAACATTCAGGACTTTTTATAACTGTGGATCACATATTTGTTTTATTAATTAACTGCTAAATTACACACTGAAAGAAATCAGGATGTAATTGGAATCACTTGATCAACATTGTAAAAAGAGTTGTGACAAATGAGCTACATCCAACAGTTCTGTGTAGAACGTAAGAATACTCTACAGTGGAGAAACATTAACTAGCAGATTTTGTCTTTGAACGTGTGTTTTAAAGCTCAATTACGCGGAGCAAATTTTTCATGTACCACACTAAGAGCCACACTTTTCATGCGACGGTTGATGATACTATCCAGCTGCCCATAGTGAAGTAGGTGGAGTGAGACTCAAATCAGTGACCAAAGACTAGCAACCGAGTGCTTGAGCCAATGAACTTGTGACGCACGTATGTACAGTCTTTCGTAGATTAAGTTCACGAGCCGTTTTATTTAGCAAAATTTCAAACATTCCCCTATCTCACTCGCTCTTTCAACTCCATCTATGGCAATAGACTTATGAAGTTGCATACAGTTTTTTCTACAAGTTTTATTTCGGTAACTTTGTAGGGTATTCTGTCATTCAAGACTTATTCCGCCGTAATCGTCACAATTTCTTCAAGGTCTTGGAAGAGTGTGAATTGCAAATTAGTAAACATCACCGTCGTCAATGTGTGACGACACCAATAAATTAACGATTTTGAATAATTTTTGTTATTTTTACCAATCACAGTACTTTGACTAAGCGAGTTCCCTTTACTCATAATGAAAGATTTTTGGTCCTGTATATCACTGTATAATACGCTAAAACAGGAGTTTTTGATACACACTGATTATTTCTCACGTGCACTTAAAATGTGAAGAAAAATGGCCCACTGAATAATACGAATTTGAGACTCTTATTTACATGTTATGTATTTTATTTTGTTATTATGAACCACGTTAGTTGCAGAGTGATCGTAAAGAAACTACGAAATGATATCATCTCGTGATATTTACCTTATTTAAGTATTTATAAATAGTTAGCCTTTTAACACTGAATAATTTGTCTACTTACATAATCTTGGTATTATGTTGCTTATACTTTCTATCCACAACTCGACATCACTGTGAGAAAAAAATGTTCATAAACTTAGTAACATATATTTTGATACTCTTTGGGATGTACACAGTTGAAAAGAATTCATGAAATAAAAAAAAACAAATATATTCTTTCCTCCTACATTTTACATACCAAAATTTAAAAACAGTATGATAAAAAGTAAAGATGATAATAATAATAATAATAATAATAATTACATGTATACATCCACAGCATAAATCACTCTACCTTGATAAGCTGTAATTCAACTTGGTCTTGTTGTAAATCTTCACCGTACCGTCTGCGCCTAGCATTTATATTATCTGTACAAATATGCATGGCATCATCAGTAGCTATTAAACTTCTTTCTAGGTCATTTTTCATCCTTACAAGTTTGTCGGTAGCTTTTATAATATCCTTTATCTCTCGTTCTAATTCAGTTTTCCAAAAGTTAGTGTCAGCTAGTCGTTCTTTCAAAAGTTTTGTTGTAGCTTCAAGGCTTCGTGTAGCTACTGCTTCAGTCTGCTTTATTAAATCTTGATTATCATTTCGCGTCCGTTCTGAAATATTCACATCTGTATCTGTTTGTTCATAACGCCGCCTTGTTATTTTATCTGATTCGTGTGGTGTGTACTTTGAACTATGAAATCCAGCCATGGACAAACCAGTTGGCAAACCATCGTTAGCACTATAAACCAATTCTGGTATACAGGCTGGATCAGTTGGAGGAATTACGCGTTTTTCGATGGTCTCTGTATCGCCGCAGTACATCCTTAATAATAATTTTGTAATTTATTTTCCCAAGCTAGACGCTTGCTTTTGAAATAAGCATAATCGATCGATATATCTTAACTATGACTTATCGACTAAGTCATCAATGGAATGTATCTTTTGCACATGACGAATTTTAATATGAAGAGAGCGGAAGTTAGAAAAGCAGTATGATAAAAATCTGTGTATAGATGATAATTTCTAATAAAAGAGAATAAAATATGTGCTGGAATAACTTATGACATTTGGTCTTTGCTTTCTAGAGTAGTGGTCTCAGCCTTCAACACTACTGTGAAAATCCTACTTTGCGTTGAGGTGATGAAACAACGTATCTTTACATAACACATTACAACAGCACAAGGGCATAAAGAAAATAACAGAAAAATCTACACAAAATACTGAGAATAACTGGGTGAGGGAAAATAGAATCGACCTAAACTAAGCAGATTTTCACATTGTATTATCTGTGAAATAACTGATGAGATTTTGATGTGTAGCATATACAAATTATTGCTAAGATACCTCTCAGTTCACTTGAGTTTTTGATAACGTGCTTCTGTTGTGCAATTCTAGCAATAAATTATACCCTCAGAACAATACTGTTGGAGACAAAAATGAATTACTTTCAACCTGAAACATGGAGACTGTATTTGACAGCACGGATCCATGAATTCTTTGACTGTTGTTTTGAACCGTGTAGGGAGGTGTATAATGCCTGACTGGGACTCTCAAGACATTAAGAATTAATAGTTGAAGAATACTGGTGACATGAAACATGCATTCACAATTTGTGATTTTCCAAATTCACTAATTCCTTATGATTCTTTCTTTCGGATATTTTCATTTCAAAGTTTCATTGCACACCTTTTCTCCACCCTTCTGTATACCTTTTGCATCGTGGCAGCTTGAACTAGTGCACTTTTGCACAAACTTCTACGCTGAAAATACACTTCACCTCAAGTATTGGTTTGTAGGGATTTGGATGAGGTGTTACAGAATTTCATCATAAGCTGACATTGGTTAGAGAACCACTGGAAAACCTGGGAGTACTGGACAGTTGTTTCGTCCTAGTTTGGGACTCATCAGTAGTACGCACCCATCGGGTTTCCAAACTAGGATGAAACAGCTGTCCAGTACTCCCAGGTTTTCCAGTGGTTCTCTAACCAATGTCAGCTGATGATGAAATCCTGTAACATTTTAGCTCAGTTCATTTAACTGTCCATCTCCATACAGATATTTTAAGATATTAATCAATTTTAAATGGATGTCGAATTTTATATTTAATCTTGCTGATGACATGATAATGTTCCTTTCTGTTCGTTGTAAATCTCATCACCGTATTATGTATATCTGATTTCATATCTAACAGGATACACAGTAAGCTATCGTAGGTTAATTGAAGTCTGTTACGTTGATGTTAGTACACTGAAAAACTTATATATACTAAAGAAAGGAGTCATGAATTCCTACACTACCGAAGGAACATTAGTATCACGAAGCAATATTGGTAGTCTACGCAGTAATTAAATGGCCAATTCATAAGAATAGAATGTTAACACAGAAAAAAGCCATTCTGTTAGGCTTTTGTTACTATGGAGCCATATTCTGTATTTATTAAAATCGAATTCTTTTCGAAATATTACTAGTTTGCATTACAAAGCATATCACTTGAGGAGCCGTGCAACATCTTAAAATCTTCGTCTGCTTCTGAATTTCAAATTAGGATGAAATTGCTGTCTGCTGTTTCTCGGGGATAAAAGGTCTTCCAGCAGATGCCACTTTGTCACGAAAACTTCTTCAAAATAGGTGAAAAGCTTACAATTCTTGTATTATTTTTTGACCTCTCATTCCTCAATATTTACAATAAGACATTTGGCCTAGGATACTTTGTACAGTGGCCTACTAAAGAAGCTTCTTAAACACATTTGAGGTTATCACTGATAAAGTCCTACTCATTATGAATTAGACATTGCTGTGTGTGAAACTCAGAAATTTACATCCAACGAAAACGCCATGCTCGTTACCTACTAACTTAGTTCTCATAGACAAATCTAATAAAATGTGTTTGTGTAGCAAGTACATAAGAATAGCATAAGCAGACAGTAACCTAAACGCATTCTACACCCTCAGATTTTTGATTACATTCAAATCCTAAAAGATAAACTGTTTCTCAATGATCTATCCTTCGAATCAATACTATAATTTTTGGCAAATTGATAACCCAGACGATACTGTATTTACAAAACACCGCTATGATTTCCTTAATTCTGATGGATACAGTTTAGATGAATAAGTGTAGCATGAGTCTTAAAGATTTATAAGCTGGGTTCTTCATGAATTTCCCTTCGTCAGTGCTTGTGAAAATGACCATTTGGTAGTCAAAACATAGAACTTGAATGTATATGATACTTTTCTATGTCTGGGCGAATAAAGAAATGCTACCAATCTCTTTGGATTTCTTAAGTGACACATTTTTATTAGTTATTCCTTTACGTTCCCAGTGGAATATAAGGTTCAAGCTACAGACTTGAAGTTTCTGTAGCAGCGATGTTTATTTTTACGGGATGGGGTTGCTAGCTCCATACCCAACCATCCCTCTTTACCAGTCTAATTACTGGTCTAGGGAGGGAAATGAGTGCGTCGGATGGGGGATCAAACCCCGGACCACATGTGTGGTAGGCGAGTATTCTACCGCTGTGCCATCGACGCACACTAAGTGGCACATAACTGATGAAAAGTGTATCAGCCAAGTATTGTAAGGACGATATGCAGCTATACATGATACTAAATATGATGCCTTTGCAAATAAATATTGGCATCCTTAAGAGTTTACTCAGGAAACTCAAATCAATCAACTCAGACTGAAACACTTATTTTATAAATCCCAAAGTTATCGACTTATCAGATAGAATAAAATCCACTCATAAAGCAAAAGCACAATTTACATATCAAATATTTGATGAAATATAAATCATAGTGATCAGTGCTACCGAAGTAACTGTAGGAAGAGTGTTACAACAATATCCTAACTATACTTTTGCTCGTAGCTCTCCGTGACACTACTCTAACAGAGCTTTTTCATTGAAAGAAAGCTACTGACTGTTCGTTCTTTCATTCACCAGATATTTTAAATATATTACTGGATGTATTATATTTAATGGGTAATAAATAGAGATAGAATGAAACAGCACTGGCGAAAGGTTTCCGGTTAGTGGCCATCAGATTACCCTTGATGACTGGAATAAAATGATAACCTGGTTAACAGCTGAGGAGGTAGGGTTCAGCACCTTTAATGTCTACAAGTCATCCCACAGAGGGATTCAACACCCAACGTGATAGTAGTATTTCATTCAGTTAGCAATTTGCCATGTAAATATGATCAGATGTCTTGTATCAGCAGAACATCTTCAAATTATGATGCTGGCTCAGATGTACTAAGTTAATTTATAAACATTTATAAAAGCTAAGTGATAATACGAATAATTTATCATGTGTTTGTAATTTAAGACAAGAGTTAGTCTGTAAACAGGCTGTACCACGTCCTACGTCTACTGATGATAAGAAAGATTTTCCGCAAGTTGAACTCTGTGTTAGATCCTGTGAATCTTAAAAATGAACACTAATGACAGTTGCATTTGTTTATTAATCTAAAGACAGCATGCAAATAAATGATTCTCCACTTGCAGCCGTATTCTGAGCACATGGCTATAGATTTGACCATATAGCTATGAACAGCCACAAGCCACTCTGTAAGCTGTCGCACGGTAAGGCGTCGATATCATTACAGTCGTCGTTATTTCCCAATCTGAAATTTGTGTCTATCTCAGTGTAAAAAATATCTTCAAGTGATCAATTAATTATAGTGTTATGTTCTCAAGGCGCATACTAGCCAAGCCAGACAAACTCACACCGAAGTATCTCCCCATCATACTAAGTGCCAATGCCTGAAGAGAAAGTACAACAATTCAAATCAGCAGTTCTTGACGAATGTCCCAATTTCACAAATACCGAACCCGATCGATAACAGCTACCTTGACGTGGTGGTCAGGCTTGCACATCCCAATGACCCAACAAGCTACACTGTCTGGAACTAATGTTCCTGCAGGTCCCACAATGCCAGGAAGATTGTTAGGATAGCAATTAGACTAAAGGCAGTTACCGGCATAGTGTAAGAATTATTTTACACTATGCTGGGGATCCGTGGGCAAAGTCATACTGCTGGGGAACAGGGATGTAACAGCAGTGAGGTGTTTCCCTCAGATGACCAGCATGCCAGCCAGCTATGCTGTCTCTCCACTCTGGAGAGAGGGGGTTAGAAAAGGTGGACCCCAGAAATTGCTCATCCCAACAAACCTTACGGTGGCCCGTAGCCGGCGGTAAGTTACTACTGCAGAAGAAAATCAAAAAGGCAGTTCATACGGGCCGTGTGTAAACGGCCTCAACCAGTTGTCCCCTGCACTCTGCGTTCACGTAACACTAACCCTCTTTCTATTTCAGCTATCCCAAGAAAAAATCAACTTCCACTGAGTGGGCAGCCGGGAAGTAACAACCCCCCACACACTTCCGAAAGCATACGAAGCCCTCCTGTTCACCAACTTCCAATATCCCTGTCACCCTCAAAATCTTGCTTCCCTACTACAGTCAGTACTATTCTGTAGGCTGGTCAGTAATCTTCATTTCATTCTTTGACCACAAATAACGATGAGTGTCAGAAAAGCATCCCCGAGAGCCAAGTTACCAACTTCATATAGGATTTTCAACGTCAGGACCCTCTGCCAAATCGGACTACAGGCATCACTAGCAAGAACTCTGGCATCTCGAGCGACGGGCGTAAGTTGTGTTTCGGACACATGCATACAAGACCCGAGTGCGGTAATTCACTTAACTCCCCCCCCAGCCAAAAAGGTGAATCCGCAAAATTAACCTTAAGGGTGTCAGGAGACCCCTCAGCTACATCAAGAGGACTCGCAGGTGTAGAGATGGCATTGAGTGTTAGAGCA